TGACATCTAGTGGTCAACTGGAGCAACTACATGGAAAACTTTAAAATCCAAGCTTTTATTTTGAAGTGAACACAGTTTTCTGTACTCTTTGCTTTCGTTTCCCGTCACAAATCAAATTTGTCATGTACCCAGAATGCATTGCTTCAGTTTTCCAATAAACAGTTTTAAAATTACTTTATTGATGAAAAATCTACAACAAACAAAAGAAAAAGACAAAGAAGCAGTCGAACTAGCAACCCTCAACAACTTTTTAATTTTTACACCAGGAGCTAAAGGTCTGTTTCAGGAAATCACATCCCCAGCAATCGACGGTTGTAGAATTAAGCTGTAAAAGGATTCATACAACGCTAGTTCTTAGTGTTGTACATGTATTGTACATGTATTGCTGCCAGCTAGTAAGCGTCAAATTGAACTCGCACTTCAAAATGAGCTTCCGCTAATTTTTCTATGGCAGTAGCACTTTTGAAATTGCAGAGCTAAATATTTTCTTAAGTGCTTTAAAAGTTGCAGAGCTAATTTTTGGATTAGCACTGCCCACCACTGCCTGTTAGTAAAATATTGTGAGACCTGTCTCATTAGACTTTAGAGTCATGCCCGGTTCGGTGATAGATTCACCGTGACACCGGGGTCACTTCACTGATTCATCTTCACTTGTATCTCACCACAAAGCCTTTGTTTGCTCCATTTGTGTTATATTCTCTTCGTTCCTCATAAAAAACTTACGCTGCTGTTTCTCCCATGAGATGAAGTCTTCCCATCACCTCTCCGATGTCGGTGTGAGGAAGACGAGGAGGAAACGGGCGTGGACGTGGAGCAGGGCGGCACCCCGACAGCACCGACCTCCTCGCCAAGGGCAGGGGCGCCGTCACACGGCCGTTTACGAGGAGGCTCGTCGGAAAGCGGGGACAGCAGGGGCGGGAGGAGCTTGTCTTCACGCCGGCGAGTCTGCTTCCTGTTCAGAGAACTACTGAGCACAGAAAAACACAGAAACAACAAAACAGTGAGATTCAGAGTGTTTGTGTTTTACAGTGACCTCATTGTGTCTTTGTTCTTTGTGATAAAGTTATGTCCGAGGTATGCTGGCAACCAAAGGTTTGGGAACTATCATGAAAATGTTACATGTAATGACCTAAAGGATTGTAGGGAGGCCAGGCTCAAACGAGGAGCTTCATCAACTGGGGAGCTCCGAGTAGAACTGTCCCATTTGTAGAAGATCCAAGAGGCAGACCCAGAAGTCACTTAAAGGGATCCCCTATTAGTTGTAACATTAAACTTTATTCAATAAACATATATTTTAACTGTAAAATAAAGACTGTAAAAATACTGTAGGCTGTTCAGTTTTTATCATTTTTAAACTAAAAGTTTAAAAATATATTTTAACACGGACGGAGCCATTTTATTTACACACAAAGCATTCTGGGTAAATGATGACATCGATAAGTCATCGGTGCGAGGCTGCTAG